AAAGGTAACTTCTTGTTCATTTTAATGGGAAAAATACAAGTTTCATGGTATATATAAATATATAAACAGAGAACGTTTACGCATGTAGTTATTTTGGGTGTCGGGGGTGGGTGTGGGTATGGGTGTGGATGTGGTTGTGGGTGTGGGTGTGGGTGTGGGTGTGAATATGAAGGGAGGAAGAACATCACTCACACCCACAGCCACAGCCACACTATTACCCACACCATACAGTCACAACCACACCCATACCCACACCCACACCCACACCCACACCCACACCCACACCCATTTTCCTCCTTTATATGCGCGTTTTCATTAACGCATCCTGTTATTCGGTCAAAGTTGATCATTTATCTCTTCCGAAATTGTAAAAAGTAATTTTTCTCGCTCTTCTATGGAGTACGGCATCTGTCTTGGCTTTACACGTGCCACGTTTCATTCTTTTTGTGTATGTTACGGATAAATATACGATAAATATCGTAACTCGTAGAAGAACGAGAAAAATACTTTATCAAAAGTTACCAAGAGATGAATGGAACAAATAATTTGAAATAAAAAACATTAGATTGTCAAAGTGCAACAACAGAATTGTCCAAAGAAGCACAATTCAAACGATCAAAAAGAAACCAATAATTATGATGACGAGAACTTTACGAATGATGAATCGATAGATGATGATGCTGATAGCGAAAATAATAAGAACGCTATTGATTTGGGACAAGGTTCAGCTTACGCAGAGTGTGGGTGTGGATGTAACGATATGTTTTATTACATGGATATTGACTCCCTTGTCATTGACGTCCAGATCCACACCTTCTTCCACATTAATTTTCGTATTAAGATTAATAGGCAGATATACTTTTAGTTTCAACACATAGAATAAAACTAAACCTACCTGAAGAGTGCCTTGAGAAAGATTGAAACCGGTCGTCAGTCTTTCTGTCTTATTCTAACTTTACTAAATCTAAACTAAATCTAAACACACCCACAGACCTTTTCCTTTGGTAATCATCACTGGAATGGAATTTCTTGTAGCTTGTAAAAATATTAGTTAGTCCAGTCAAACGAAATGAATAAGTAAGAGGTTCAATTTATTCTGTTAATGACTATGTACTTTCAAAGATGAAAAATCATTTTTACCTAAAGAATCTCTGTTTTCTTAAAAGCGACATAAAAGGAAAACAATAGAAAGTATAATAATTTAAATTTCTTTATGAAAATCGTATGCAAAACTCACTATAATGACAAAACAGATATATCGTATGAATCACGCATTTTTAGTTGTTTTTCTGAAATAACAATTCGAATTCCTTTAATCTCGAGCTTCAAGTCTTCATTCAATTCAGATTATTCCACTATCCATCCATTGTTTGAATGCTACAGCCAAAAAAATGTGGAACGTGGGTGTGTATGTGGGTGTGAGTCTTATTAGTAAAGGGCCTACACCCACACCCGCACTCGTCGATGAATTAATTCTGCATTTATTTAATAATTTTATTTCAAGTATTATATATAATTGTTCTATTGAAACTTTCGACTTAAGATCGATCGCTGACAAACAAAAGTTGAGATTAACAAATTGAACTGGTCTTTTCGTTTAGAGATAGGTCGGCCTGTTTTTCATTTGATCTATACACCTACACCTACACCCAAAATAACTACATGCGTAAACGTTCTCTGTTTATATATTTATATATACCATGAAACTTGTATTTTTCCCATTAAAATGAACAGAAAGTTGCTTTTTTAAGTGCTATATGAAACTTCGCCTATATAAGTATAATGCTATGAAAAACAAAATATATGCATATAAATGAAGTTTATTAAAGATTTTTTTCGTAAGTTTAATTAAAAACATTGATCATGATCACGAAAAGCTTTTTCGTCACGAATTATTGTCTGAATTACGGTTATTCGGCTGCCCATGGCACTGCAGATCAGAAAAATTCTTAAGTAGAAATTGAATTTGTTTTTGTGTTTCTTCAGTACATTTATGATTCTCAGAGATGATTACGGCCTCATTCAGATGAACATATCCTTCATCAAAATAATTGCGCAGGCACTCGATACGAGCCAGATGTAGATGAGTGCCGATAATCAAATCAATATCTGGAGGAATTTCACTTTGTGAAATATTCAGACTTTCAATGAAGTTATAGTATGCCATATCATAATCTTCTCTCAAGCCGAAAATTATGGCAATCTTATTGTAAGCGACTTTTACATCATCAGGATAGCCAAGTTCAATAACTTCCTGAAAAGTCTTAAGAGCAGCATCCATATCTCCCAATTTTAAGAACTTCGATCCAATCTGAATTTTGCATGAACTGACAAGAGGATGATGAGGCGATTTGTGTTGGCAATAAAGTTGTACTCCGCTTTTATAGTGTAATATCGAGTTGTGATCATCTCCAATTTCTGCATATATTTTCGCAGTCGAAATATGTGCAAGACGAAGATCTGATGATGCCTCCGATATTTGCGGCATTCTAAAAATGTTTTCGTAATTTTCAAGGGCTGCTGACCAATTTTTTTGTTTTTCGTAGACTTCTGCTAGTTGACTGTATACACTAGCACGTTCATCATCAGTACACGGAATCAAAAGAGCATCTCTTAAACATTCGATAGCTTCGTCAAATTTGTTTGCCCTTGTAGCTTTCATGGCGGTCATGAGTAGAAGTTCAATGCGTCGTGGATCATTTTTAGTGAGATTTTGATTGATCGCAGAGTGCATCTCTTCGACATTCATTAATCCAAACGTTTCATTGCCTTGACTCATGACATCAATCAAGTCCATGGGAGTCGGTATTGATAAATCATTCAAAGCCATGTCTTGAGTTGATATTACAACTTTTCGTTGTCGCATTGTTTGAGAAAATAGAGGTTCCACGAATCTTAACGCATCAGAGATATTCATTTTTAATGGCATCAACAACAATTGCTCGAGGACTATATCGAATATTCTCACCTGCTCCTCTATTTTAATAAAATATCTATAAACATGAGGACTTATCAATTGCTTCAATTGTTGTAAAAATTCTTTTATTTTATTTATGTGCTCTTTAGTTTCATATAATTTGTCTTTAATGTTACTCGATTGGATAGAACCAACAGTGCTAAATATACGATAAATATTTATGTATTCTTTCAAGAAATTGCAATAAATTTTAATTATTGGATTTTCACATGAACTCATCTGTTGAGAGATTTTTTCTGATGCTTCAAAATTACCCATATCAAAAAGTGTGCCTGCAATGATGAATTGAGCACCCATATTATCTGATATGACGCAGGAGTGAAGTTCTGGAAACCTCGTTTCTACATTGCGAGATAAACTATCATCAAATGGATATGCATGTAAACAAATCTTCCAGATGTGTCCTTGAAGTTCTACCGACTCGATACGTAGTCTAGTGCCCATGGCTAATAGCACTTCTTTTTCTTCCGGGAAGTTACTCTCTGTAGTAATGTTTGCAAAAATTATCGGTACGTTTTTAAGTTTATCCTCCTCAATGATGATTTCAAATATAACTGATTCGAATTTTGGACGATCTTCACCATTTCCCGCCCATATTTTGGCCAAATCATAGTGTTCTGATGTTGATAAAAAACTATTCATTGCTATCAAATGACCTACATTGTCTTTTATTTGCTTGAGTTCATTTGAAGTTATGCGTTGACCACGATAAAGGTGATGAATGCTGCTTGATGTACCTCCAAATAAGAAATACTTTACATTAGTCTATTTAGACGATCTGAATTCAACACAAAATTCGATAGTTTGCAATATTTGCTATTTTATACATAGTGTTGTTCTAAATAAAGTTTCCGAAATAAAACATATCGCTCATATATCTTCGAATTATACTAAGGATCGCCACAATTAAATATACAAAGCTAAGGCTTGATCAGGATATTCTTCAGTAGATATTTATCGAAAACAGGAAGCTTTTCGATCATTTTTCTTGCAAAAACTTTGAACTTCTGTTAAGGAAAGTGATTCATATGTTATGCTGCGGAGATGCTGGCCAAACTTTTCTATGATTTGATACAATATGATTCATTTGTTTTAACTAGTTTTTCTTCATTTTTCTATATTTTTTTGAAACATCAATAATCTTTTATTTCTATATGATTTGTTAGATCAATAATTGTTCTAATCAAAAATATAGTTTACCTCTCAATTTATTTCATGGTATCTCGATGCAAAATCCGAAATATTGATCAAGTTGCCTAAATTCAACTTTTGCTCATGTACATCTTACTCATACAAAATTCAAATGATTCAAACATATGTTTGGACGAAAGAAATCTTCCAAACGTAGTTTTACTGGAAACATAGAATGAAACTTCGGTAAACCCTCTCTCTAAACATCCCTCCTTTATGAGCGCTTTCTTTAACTGAATACCTTCTGATTCGGCAAAACAATTTTTGCTGAATTTACCTGCTCTTTTATGAATATCTCCTTATTTTAAATGTGAACGCACTTTTGTTTTTCCATCTGTATGCATTAACCTTGGGAATGCAAACGTGGATACAGGATAACATTAGTTAAGGTAGCTGTTTGGAAGTGGAGAAACAATTTCTATGGAACCTATTGGTTATGCGACTCAAATCAATGAAAATGTGAAAGATCGTTCAATCTTCTGGAGTTTTTATTTTTAATATGGAATCTCGAAACGACCTGGATCCTAATTTAGAAATTAATTGAATTAAGGATAAAGAACGTAATTAATCTCGTCGTAAATTAAAAGATATATTGGAGTTTTCAATACGTAAAGCCACAAATATCCGAAAAGAAAACAAAAATATGTTCCTGATAATGAATCGCCTTTGAAAAAAAAAGTAAAACGTAAAGGGTATAATGATCTTAGTGAAACACTTGATGACAGTATACACCAATAGTAGAGTTCTGCACAGGTTCCAGTTTTTGAACCCGCATCCGATCCGAGAAAGTGTAAACCTGAACTCGACCCGACCCGATCCAACTAATTATATAGTGGGTTTTTCAAAACTACATCACTTTATTTCAAATATTGAGGAAAACAACACAATGCAAAATTTTTAGAAAGCTATTTATTTTATTTTATGAACTAAAACATCTCGCATCGCATGTATTCTTACAGTGTCTTAGTAATAGTATATAGCTTTAATAATTAATTATGGGAGGTAGAGATACAAAAAGAAATCTAATAATGTTAAGTGAAAATAGATCCACTTAGATGAACATCATTTCTGGAGTCATTGACGGGAAAAGAAACAGATATTTTAGAATTTTGTGCGTAAAATTTAGCGAATAGTAATACGTTTAATATTTAGAGAATTGGTTTAGAAAAAGTGTATCACATGTTATTCTTACACTTCTCTGAACGTTAGTCGATAGAGTTTAATTCTACTGTTTCATTTTTTTACATATGCTTCATAGAATAAGATAGACGGCAGAAAACATATGTTCTAAAAAATAGTACCCGATAAAAACTCGACAAATTTTTCGGTCGAATCCGAACCCAACCAGATTCGCCACAGTGTGAATTCGTACTCGCCCGCGGCTCGAGTCGGGTTGCAGTACTCTCACCGATTGTTGCCTTCTCAGAGAGCGAAGGAAATTCCTGTTTTTGGTCCTATTTTCCAAGCATACGCGAAGAATGTTGCAAACGGATTAAGTGATACAGCACATTTTAAAACAAATAATGAATATTTTCAATACTTTATATTGTGAAAGCTGTTAGCGAAATCCCTTTGGGATTAAAAATGTGAAACACGATATATCTGCTGTTATTAAGGACCGGAAAGCTTCTTTATTCCATGTATCTTCCGAACCATTTAATCTCTAACTTTTAGTAGTCGAAATCTCAGTAAGCAAGCTATTGATATATTTTCATGAGATTTGAATGACCTAAGATCACTAGTCCTTCATTAAATTGTCTGCTACGGTCTGTACGGCTTCTGGAATCCGTCTGTCATGGACAGTGATGCTTCTGGAATCCGTCTATCACTGTCTAAGATACTTCTGGAATCCGTCGGCCACGGTCTCTGATGCTTCTGGTATTCGTCTGTCACAGTCTGTGATGGTTTTTCCCGTCTGTCACGGTCTGGGCGGGGGGAGGCGTGCAAATTTCTGCTTATATACACTTCAACACTCCTCGCAGTTCGTGTTTCACAAAACACGAACTGAAAGGAGTGTTGAAGTGTATGTAGGTAAAAATTTTGCACCCCCTACCCACAGACCGTGACAGACGGGGAGGAGCAACCATCATAGGGTGTGGGTATTTAATCTATTCAACACCCACAACCTTAAAAGTATTAAGTAAAAAACTACCGCTCGAATAATAAAATATCCATTACATTATCATATTGTGAACTCAATAAACTAATCATTTAATAGCGAAGAAACATAACTTGTCCACACAATTACAATGTCGAAGGCTTAAAATATAAACTTAGATTTTCCAATATTTCAGAAAAAAGCAACTACAAAAGAAATTTCTTAATTTCTTGACAACAGTAAGCTAAAGATGTTTTATTCAAAGTTAATAATACCATCATATCATTCAATTCTCAAACCTAATAAAAATACATTTACCTCGCATACATAATGCCAATGTACACAATTCGGATGCTTCGCACCGCATTCAGTATACGAGAAAGTCTCGAATACCATCTAGTTATCTATAAAATTAGATAACAGTTTAACATGTTTCCCCGTGAAATAAGAGCAAGTAGATTCTGTTTAGGAATGGAATGAAAAATATCAACACATAGAACTTAATAATATGACTATATTTCTCTAATGATCGAATTCCTTTTAATAAATTCTGATTGTCCAAAATTTAACTGTAACATATTGAGCAGTTATACTAAGCATTCACGTTAATTTTTCATTTTACACTTAGAAGATCATACTTCATCTTATTTCGATTGTTATTCAACAAAAATTTCATATGACTAAATACCAATTGACAAAAAAAAAAACGTTTGAGTGTGATGTTGTGTTTTTCTATCTTATTTTGCTGACTCACCTCTTGCTAGAAGTCAAGTGAAGAAGAAAATTTTTAAACTAGGAGAAGATCTAAAGAACCAATGCCTGATATCGGGAGATTTTTTAACCCAGTATCTCGTGACTCAATCAAGATCTTTGATAGTTCTACTAGGATTTTATAAATTCGGAGAGTAGTGGCAACTGGATTTAGTCAATTTCATTGAAACCATGCAATGTTCAACAGAATTCTATTGGAATAATTCCTTCGAGATTTTTCTGATTCCTGTTTGCATGTTTCTGCCACCATTACAATCATTATGCTGAAATGTGTTATGACTCACTTCTTCACATAGAATAAAAGCAAATAAATGCACAATAATATGCTTAGCGACAAACTCATGAAGGGTATAATATAATATTTTCTCCACTTACCATTAGAAATTTTTGTTTGTTCTTCATGCAATACCTGAAGCCGTTTATGTATATCTTGAATGATAAATCTAAACTTCCAGATAGTGAGAATATTTTCGGTACGAAATGCAGCATTCACTAGACGATATAGAAATGAGTCTTTAGTATACCAGAATATTACATTGTTTGGGTCATATGTCTTTTCAAAATCATCTATTTGCTGACATACTGATGAATTGCCTTGATAAATGTCACGACATTCTTTCAGCATCTCTTCATAAATGTTTTCAGTTGGCCTAGGTGCATTTAATAACGAATACAGTATTACTCGTCCCGAATCGAATGCCACCTTGTCATCTTGAATATCTTTTGTTGTTGTTCCAGACATATTTCCCTCTGTACTCGATGAAATACTGAAATTCAAATCATTGTCCTCTATCATTCTTATATCCGTCTTCAGCTTCATTAGCAGTTG